ATAGGGATGTGTAAATTTTACTTTGCCTAGTGGTATCAGATACTCTTGCACTGGCTCTGATGTAATCTAAAGATATTGTAGAGCATAATTATCCAAATTCCTTTAAATAAATAAACAATATAATCTTTAGAGTTTTTCATGTACAATGATATCATTCATAGATAATGGTAATGAGGTGACTTTGTTTTAATGTAATGAACCTAATAAAGGTATACATTAGAATATCACTTTAATTCTTTATTTTGCTAACTGAGCTTGGGGAAACTAAAACTGAAGAAATTCATCAGAAATGTTTTTGACAAATTTCTTCAATTTTGATTTCCTCAGATTACCAGAATAAAGAATAGTTATCATCATGGTGCAAAGATTTAAATATTTTAATGATTCTAATGTATATTTGCAAGAATTCCTTTGTAAAACTTCTCATCACACAAAAATCTACTTTCATTAAATTAAGCACTATACAGAATCATTAACCTAACACAATTAGTACTCAAAGAAGATATAAACTGGCAATGATTTTACCAGCTAACATTATCTAGACACTAATATCATCTATATTATATGTTCAAAGTGGCAGATGACATTGACAGTTGTCAAAACATTGCACCATATGTTATAAATCTGAATAAGTTGAGGACTCACTGTAATTTTATATTAATTAAAAAGTAACTTTTTTTGTTAAAAAGTTTTTCAAAAATTTTCTATTTAAGAAATTTCAATCAGATTTGGATTTCCACATGGATTTATAAGTTTTTTGCTATCATATGATATTTAACATTCAAACTGATTGATTAATTCACATTTATGTTTCACAGAAATATTTATAATCACAATTACCAAAATGTTTGAAGTTTGCTAAATAAAATTTTAAGATTTTGAAATAATAAAATAATAATAATTTATAATTATTAATTCTAGTCTCAAATATGTTCAAATTTCATGTCATATCCTGAAAATTTCGTATGCAGGGGCGTTCGTATCCTGAGGTACCACTGTATACAGCACTTCTGCAAAAAATGCATATGTTTACTCGATATATTCAAAATATTCTGTAATGGTCACCCTACAGACCTTATATATAACATATAACCCATGTTGATATATGATATATATCAACAAATAGCATCATTGNATCAAAATAAAGAAAATTAGATTTATTAATACAATTCTAATTTTTATTTCATTTAATCACAAAATATTATCAAATTCACATTTGCCTTAATATGTGATGAATGGAAAACAAAACCAAAACATTATAGTGGGCGTGACAAGAAAAAGTTTATTTTTAGTGATTCAGAATGTGCTAATATTCATTAAAAATAACAATTTAACTAATATAAAATAACTACATTTATAACCATTGCTAAGTGACCTGTATTTCATTAATGTTTTTATAAATAATGAGAAACTATTTTCTTTGAACAAATGAGATGCAACACGGTTTTTAATTGTTGGATGTAGGATTAAACCAATAAACAAAGGAGTGTGTGTCTTAATCTGTTTACAGTAGGTGCCAACTTATGATAATTAGACTGTAGACCTATAATGACAGTATGAAATATACACGGTTTACAGAAATTATTGCAAAAATGCAAAGAATCCTTTGTTTGTGCATATAGGATGACCTAGGTTTTTGAAACAGTGAAAAATGAATAAAAACCTCATCTTATATGCAAGTAAATATGGTAATTTGGAAAATCACAAATTTAGAATTAACCAAAAAAAGAATCAATTTTTGTTCTTTTATTCATTTATAAAATAGTGTTATATATGATTTGATTTAATTGTATACAATTAAATCAAAGACTTTATTTTGCTTCCACTTGATAGTGATGTGATACGATGAAAGTGATTTCATTCCAGATTTTTATGTGGTGGCATGTGACTTCTGATGTGATGTGATGTAAAAATGAAGTAAAATTCTGCTGTAAATCTACATGTTTATTAAAACTAAAAAATTTATATATATATTTGTTTCAATTAAAAGAATTATTTTTTAAGTTTTGCTTTTGTTTTCAAATATACTTACTTTTGTTCCAACTACAAAACTAGCAGAAACAGCTAAGCCGTGAGTAAAATTATCTATACTGTTAGCCATTAAATTTAAATATCCAGTAACCTGCAAAACAAAATTATTATATAAAAAATTTACCAAGTTTTTGAAACTGCAAAAACAACAAGATAAATGTATGTACTTGTATTGTTTCGGATTTAGATGATAAAGATGATTTATCTTGAGAATGAGTGGTTGACTTGGATTGTTTAGTTGCACATCCATTGGAAATGACTCCATTTGTTGATTTACAATGTTTAATATTTCCATTTGTTAATGAATGAGAAACAGATAATTCTTTATTAGATTTTTTCTCTTCAGAATCTTGTTTCTTTGAAAAAATTAAAAATTAGATTAAATTCTAAAATCTCCTAATAAAAAGAAAATTTTAAATAAAATTCTTACATTTTCTTGTGATGTTTCCTGAGATAATGAAAACATTATTTCTACAATAACAAAAGTGAAGATACCAAGAAGAATCCAGATCCCTAATGTTAGATATGCTGTCCGGTGATTTGACCCTGCTAAAATATGAAACAAACATTTGTTTTAATAAAACCATAAAATTTACGTAAGATATCTTTATCTGTTATAAATGAAATCATAGCAGGATATCCTAATTCTGATGATAAATTCTACTTCATCATGGCAATAATATAAAATTTATTAGGACAGTTTATTTGCACACATCCTGTAAATTATATATTTATTCAGCTTGCATATTATAATATATATTAATTCTTACTTTTTTTAACTAAATATAATTATAAATATAAAATTTCATACACTTTTGTAAGTGATTCCAAGCTTCCGGAAGGAGATGGAGAAAAACATCACCCAACAGACCACCAACAGCAAAACTTAAAAGTAACCGGAGAGTTTTTGTTCCTATAAAGAATGAAATCATTAAGTGATTTTATGAAAAGTCTATTAAAATAAGTAGAGAAATATAGATTTATACAAATATTGATTATATGCTATTTAATATTTTCAGAAGTAACTCATAATATATATAGAATCA